TGAGGTATGCAATTACAATACTGGTTGGTTGTTGGCACAGTCGGCCGTATCTGCTTACGTACGTGTGTTGGCTCACATATCCTGCTGGCACTGGAGAATGATACTCTTTTAAAAAGTAGTGAGCATTAAATGTTTAGTATGTGAGCCTGGCTATCAAGGTCTTGGCTCCAGCCTACTGGACCTGTCTCAGCCTGACATAAATAAAATTCCCGAGAGCCTACTGTACTTACCCCAGCCTACCTTGTAATTTTAATCTACCGGATTTTTGAGCGCCTACTGAAATGTCCTTCAATAAGACAATTTCCAAATGCCAATTACGACATTTCCAATAATTGTTTTAAATTAATGTTTATTAACAATGTACTTGTTGAATGCCACTTTAACGGAAAACATTCTTCAGATTCACGACTATCAATAGCAGCTGTCGCAGTTGCTCTTTGGTAATACACAGTAGTTTTGGAAGACTCGAAAGAGAGGTTTCAGAGGCTAGTGGAAAATTTTAGAAGTCAAAAACGAACACATAAGAACAAGATAATAATAGTAAGCTGTAGTTTAGGTAATTAAGTAACAGACTTCAGAGTGGAGGAATACAGTATGAAGTGAATGTATTCATATATGTGGTAGTGGACGTCTCGGCACATGGGTTTATGAAAGACGGGGTGAATCACAGAATAGACAGTGGGAAAAAAGGTAGATGGAGTGTTGAGGCTTCTGCGGAAAGAAATTTATCAGTGAATGCAAAAAAAAAAAAAATTATGTACGTGTGCATGGGGTTGAGGAAGTCTGAATGTTGCTGCACGGAGGCCTGACGTAGTGAGATGCTGTGCTTGAGATTACTGTGTTGTTAATATACGGTAGAGAATAAGAAGTGAAGAAATTACAACATATAATTCAGGCACTAGAGGAGGGGTTGTTGAGACGGTTTTGTTGTTCAGAAAGAACAAAGCATGGTTGGTCAACCAAGAGAAGTTATAAGTTTAAAGTGAATGGGAGAAATAGTAGAACGCTCCAGAAGGGTAGAGGGAGAGTTGAAAAGGTTTTGAGCATCCAACAGGCAAATGCATGATAGATCAGCGAGTGAAGACACGTATTTTTTGGGAGCTGAAAAGCTATTGAAGTGTGAGGAAAGATAATATCTATGAAGGTATTCAGTGAATATGCTTAGCTGGATTTGAGTTCTGGAGATGGAAAAAAACAGCTCTGCACTCTCAAGGATGAGTGAGGATGTTACGGTTCAGATCATTTGAAATGTGGTGGCCGCGCGCTTATCCAAAGATAGAATGAATAATGATGGCTGCGTTTTCCTTCTTTGGGTCACCATATTTAGGTGGGAAACATCTTTGTTTTGATGTATGTGGAATTTTGAAGACATACAATATGCATGCAGTCATTTCTCTCTAATGAGAATAATGAATGTTTATAGAAAGCAGAAAACACATTTTATTTTTATATAGTTGAATTTACAGACTAAGAGACGTTATCCTGCCTCAAATTATTTCAAATCATAACCCGGTTTAAGGTATACTTCCTCGCGTTCCACGCCTCAGAACACGACCACAACAGGCCACTAAATACCTACTACATTTTTACTTAGTACTAGGTGAACTGGGCCTTTGGGTATAAGGAGACTTTCCTATACGTCTTGCCCTGCCTGGTATCGAACCTGAGTCCTTAGGGTGTGAACCAAACACTCCAGCACCTTTATACAGATGAAGTCAGAATTTTCATAGTAATGCACTATGGTAAGTTTTACACAAGTAGCAAAAAAATGTATGGCAGACTGAGCAAAAACCTTTGAAATAGGTTTCTGAATAAACCAGAGAACATCCCTAGAAATGAAAGCAAAAGTGGTCATGAACGTAGCGCTCATAAGTTGAAACTAGATGATACGATGCTTCCTAACTAATTACTTTGTAGGGACTAATTTATGACGGTGAAAATTAATAAAAACTAGTAAGTAAAATCTAAACAAAGTGAGATCGAAGAAGTAATAAAAGAAAAATGAAGACAAATATAGATCAAAATAAGACTGTGGGTTACGAGAGGTGAGGGAGCGATACGTTTAAAAGGCGTTGTTTTGCATAACATAATATGCACAATGTGGTGAAGTAAGTTTCTAATGGTCAGTGATTTATTGGAGAAGATAGAGAAATTTGGCACCGATACTGTGGAATGAAAAATAATGGAAGGCTTGGCAGTGCAAGGAGTACACCGACTGGTTCCTCTACAAGAACGAAAAACTGAGAAATGTTGTGGAGTCGAAGAAAGAGCCACGTTACAGTGTACTCCTTCCAATCTTGATACATGGAAGCGAGACACGAGTGTGGAGAGGGACAGGTAAATTTAATTTTTACGATGTAAAATTGACATAAAAACCCCAAAGGGAAGATTATAAGGAAGTGAATCTCTATAGACGTGGGAAGGCGTGACGAGGTATGTACTGCAATATCGTAGAATGCATGACAGGGAGAAGCTAAGGTGGTTTTATGTGTAGATCTGTAAAGAAAATGTTCACAGCTGAAATACTGGAGATTGTGAGGGATGGGTATGCAACCCTCGTGTATCTGAATATTAGAGAAGTACCTGCAGGAAAAGTCCGTGCGAGGGCACAAGGGAACAGAATAGCTTAGTTGATCATACTTTCTTAAGACAGTCTAACTCGAGGTTTTAATGTCGCGCTACCCTCCTCTCACTCCCCACCGTCAAATGAGAGCTCTCGCGGGGGACCCAGGCAACGAAGATATATATAGACAACTTATAGACCACTGGTTGAATATCTGATTGTTAAAGTTACCCTCTGTGGCAACAATGTATTCATTGTATGGCTCCACTAACAGCCGAATTCTTGATCAGATACGCATACTTCCCCAGTGAAGATAATTCCTCCAGCATGTTTTACATCTTCATACAGTCCTGGCTGGACCAGTAGCTACTCTTCTAAAAGGAAGAACACTGCAACTCGTGCTGGTATTTTCGTAATATGTCTGCCACACCCACTTCACTCGCTCTAACACGTCTGCTCCATCCCCATAAACATCAACATTTCCCTAACCACTTCCTCCCTCCCTTACACAAGTATTTTCCCTACTACACATATGCAAACTCTTGCCCTCTCTCTATTACCACTCCAGTGAAGTGAAGGCAGACCTGAGGAAATTATGTATCACGACCATTTTTATGACGGTGCATCTCAGTAATGTATAATAATGATTATGCCCATTAAAAGCAAGATATAATTGCTCTCTCTCAACACCCAACAACATCCATATCGGTAAGTTGGTGTCCCTAAGGTCACATTCTTGGGTCTCCTCTTATTCGAGCTCTCACTTTAGGTTTCAACACAAGAAACTGTGATGATTTTCAAAATTAACATACAAAGTGAATCTATTTTGTTATCTTATCCTTACTATGTTTATCTAGCTAAATGTTCAAGCAAATTAGTTAACATATAGCATGGAAATATTTGTGAAATAAAGAGAAAAAAGAATTGGCAATTAGACGAGCATCACACACGACACCAAAAACGCCATTTACTTGTTAGGTCGTAATATGCAAGTAGGGACAACTAATTTCAGTAGGTACTTAGCAACAGCTGATCTTACTATGTACGTAGCTCAGCTTTAAGAGGGTGAACTTTATATTAACTACGGCAAAACTTATTACATTCTTAGGCAAAAATTAACATCACAAACCTTTGTTATGAAAATGAAAGACAAGCTAACATGAGGAATGCTTGTGTCTTATTATCTACAAGTTGTACAATGCTGCCTATAAAAGCAAATTATGTTCCATAAGTACACAGACAACATCTTTTTTTACTATACATTATAACGTGATAAAATGTAAAATAGGTGTTTGATGGGCGAAATGAAATACATATTTTCTAAAATGTTTTCTTATGTATTGCTGGAATAAATGTATTCACTCGAAATAGCATGGCACGTTAACTCACGTAATATAATAAAAATTTAATCCTATCCAATGTATCTAAGGTTGCCCAAATTTTAGTTAATTTTTAACATCAATTAAATGTATTAATTTCGTTATGTTCTGTCCGATTTTCGCGAAATTATTGCAAAATTGAATGAACGCTCTACTTGCTTAACAAAATGATTATTGCTGAATATAACGAATCATCAAGTTCGGCATATATTTAAATAAACCTATAATAGGTTAAGATATGAACCATATTAAAGAGCAAGGATTACATGGGACATAAGGGATGAAATAGGTAGTATTATCCACAATATACAGCTCCAGCACACTCTCACTAGGTCCTGCGCCTCACTCATAATCTAGAGAAGTCATCAGGTCATCTCCATTATATTTTCTAGATTCGTAGAACAAGGCACTGTGATACCCGATACGGGCTCTGAGCCGCGGAGTGCACCGGTAGAGGGCCAGTGGGTATTTTGGGCGCGTGCCGGTGGGGGTGGGGACTGGGGTACCTAAAGACTAGGAGGGGGTCGCACGGTTTAGCTCCCCCTCCCTCTTACACCAAGGCACTGGGAAGATATCAACTGATTACTGAAAAAAAAAAAAAAACGAATTGAGGAGGTCTACACATTATGCTGGTGACGTGGGTAAGAATAAAAAAACTGAGGGATGGAGTGTGAGTTGTGCGATCCCCACCCCCTCTCCGCCACTAGGGGGCAGTCCCTCCACACCTGTGGAACATCTATTCCCTCACCCCTCCCTCCGTTGCCACCACCCCTGCACTTGTTCACAGCGTCCCTCACACTTGTCTCGCACTTTACTGTATCAATAATTTTGTCTCTTCAGTAGCTGCAAATTAAACACTTCACTATATGCATATAATATATTTTCTGTGCAACAAAAGCACATTTTTAGCAACAGTTTCTGGGTGAACTTTACTCGGCCTTGCCACACGCGAAGCACACATACACACAACACTAGTGTGGAGATGAACCAGCCGAGGAGCATTAGTTAATGTAGCAGCAGAGGCGATGGTAATAGTCCTGCGAGAAGCTTTGGCCTACCTTCGCGCACGGTGCGGGTCTGCACTTGCGTCTGCTGCTGGACCCTCGACTGCTGCATGCTGACGCTGCTGCTGCTCTGCTGCGTCGAAGTGCTCTGCTTCACCACGTGCTGCTGTTGAGACATTGTGGCGCTGGTGGTGGTCGAAGAGTTAACACAAAAAGGTACACTGGCTATTACACCAAACACTGGTTGACTAGAGATGACTAGAGCACACGGCAGTCAAGACGAGGTCGTGAATATTCGACTAATGCCACTGACTAGTGGACTGCGAGCATAATAAAGCGAGAGGATTATAATATGCTTGCGGCCCGTGAGTCAGGCAGCCCCATTTAGCACACCCTCGCCGCCGAAGTTGTCGGGGCGAAATGGTGGGTAAAGTCAGTGGGCGCCCCCTGCTTGGCACTCGGGGCACGTCGGCGCTGCTCGGCTCCTGGTGCCACTTTTAGATGTGACGTCACAGAAGCCAGAGCCACCAGCGGCAGAAAGTGTATAAGCCCCAGGAAAGAGACCTGGTGGAGAGGTCCAGAACTGGAGTCCTCTCACAGATCCTACAATAATTCTATATCATCGACAACACGGGCAGTCAACTGTAGGTAGAAGGTTGGTAGACACGAACCATCAGAAAGGTACTACCATCCTGTCATAAAAGTATGAAACGGAAGTATGTTAATAGTTTTGCACCTGGCAGAAACGCTGGTCATTTTTTCCGGGCATGCACGACGGCAGATAAATTTTAGAAATTTTTATTTACATTTATCATAAACTTATTTTAACTCTTCTGTGGGCTTCTAGAGAGTTCATTACTCCTTGCTGACATGTCCAGGCCAAGTTCTGTGTCTAACACTTTGGTTAATAAAGTCTGAATGCACTCATAATAAGATCAATTAAACTCAAACTTTCACATAAAAAGTCTATAAAATGCACATGAGTAACTATAACTGCATTACAGAGTGTATTAACATATAAAGTGAACCTGGTGATTTTACCTGTATTGCGCACTGTAATCCAGAAGTGTTTTCCTTGTTTTATTTCATTTTAAGCTACATGCCTGAAATCTGACACGTATTTCTGATCTAAACTACAGGTCACTTCATTATATTACTGTTTATTATTATTATTATTATCAAGGGATCACCAAACTCATTAGGATCACACAGTGCATGAAGAATGAGAGCAATCCAGTTTGATTTAAGGAAGAAGAGGGAAGGCCCACGTCCTCGGATCAAGAAGCGTTAGCAGGCGTCAAGGTATTTGAGGGGAGCTCATTATATTGACTGTTCTAGCTACTGTACTAGAGAGTTAGGCAGGAGAGTAAGAGTGGCTGTTTTGGGTATCTAAGCTCACATAATCAAAAGTGTTACATATAACTGTAAAAATAACAACTAATTTCAACTAATTTTACAGAATTTACCCACATAACCTAATTCTAAATTTTCATGTTTTATTTTATATTTTAGTAACAAGGGTTTCAAGATCTGAAGACCTGGAGGCATATAAAAGGTCGTACTCACCTATATGTGGTTGCAGGGGTCGATTCATAGCTCCTGGCCCTGCCTCTTCAATGATAGATACTAAGTCACTCTCTCCTTGCTCCATGAGCTTTATCATACCACTTCTTAAAGTTATGTATTGAACTTCCCTCCACTACTTCATTCTCCAGATTATTCCGCTTCCTGAGAACTCTAAGGCTAAAGAAATACATCCTAAGATCCCTATGACTCAGCTGGGCTTTCATCTTCCAACTGTGGCCCCTTGTTCCTGTGTCCCATCTCTGAAACATTCGAGCCTTGTCCAACTTGTCAATTCCTCTCAGCATTTCATGCATCGTTATCATGTCCCCCTATGCTGGGGTTAAACTCCAGGCTTGCAGCCTGTCCAAATCACCTTGTTTGTGTGTGTGTGTGTGTGTGTGTGTGTGTGTGTGTGTGTGTGTGTGTGTGTGTGTGTGTGTGTGTGTGTGTGTGTGTGTGTGTGTGTGTGTGTGTGTGTGTGTGTGTGTGCGTGTGTGTGTGTGTGTATTTTCTTCTGCTGATATAATATCAAAGGAGCAGAGAAACACTACAGTGGGTTCATTGGCCCGTGTTCGGCAGGTCTCAAACCAACCATTTTCACTCACGTTAACTCCATTTAAATGATACCAAAAGAACATTCTAAGTTTGAAGTGTTTGTATCCTACACGTGGTTATTATGTATCATCTCCTCCTCCTCTTAACCAAAGTATTTTTTGGCCTTGGGAGTTATAATGTACCTCAAGATTTTTTAGTAATTTATCTTAAAATGGATGAAGAGTGAAGGGACGCAAACAATGCATTGCTGCTACCACTATTTTCAGTTGTATTTTGCGAACATAACTCATTAGCACTACTTTTGGGTAGACGTCTTGATACTGAAGCACTCTTTGTCTAAGGAATTAGAGCTACCCTCCATTTCTTCAGATCAAACTTGACTGCCCTGCACGGCCCTAAGGCTTGAGCGCTTCCTAATAAATCTCGTTAAAGAATTCACCCTTACTTCTCATATCTCAACAAGTTCTGAAACATAAAAAATTAACACTTGTGAAAGTTTACGTGACTTACCTAACAAAGTTATGCAATATTTCACATGTCAGTATTTTTACATTTGACAATATTCTGCAAAAATATGTAAATTAAAAACATATGCAACATCTGGACACTTCCTAGGATACATGTCGCTCTCGCCAGGAACTTCCCCAATACAAATGCAAGTTTCTGGAGAGCAAAATTTATCGTTGTAAAACTGTATCAACGTTGCATGAGTCGTATTTATATACATGTACATCTTGTGTGATATAGTATATACCTTGTATGACACATTATATACCTTATATGATACATTATATGCCTTGTATGATACATTATATACCTTATATGATACATTATATGCCTTGTATGATACATTATATACCTTATATGATACATTATATGCCTTGTATGACACATTATATACCTTATATGATACATTATATGCCTTGTATGATACATTATATACCTTCTGTAATGCATTATTTACCTTGTGTGATATATTATATACTTGTGTGATACATTATGTACCTTGTATGATACATTATATACCTTTGTATAAGTTCTAGGTACGTATCTCAACACTGACATTTTGTGAAGATAAAAACACATGCAACACTGGCTATTTTATTTAGGCAATGTTTCGGCCACATATTAAGAATTAAAGAATCACTGATATTAACGTCGATTTAGGATGCGGCTCAAGGTGCAGATGGAAGTTAAACTTTTCTGAAAGATATCGGCCATACTAAAAGGCAACAATTCTATTGCTGAGAAGAACCACATTTTTTATGTTAAGAAACACATTAATTAAACTGTGCTATATGTATATATATATATAATATATATATTATATATATATATATATATATATAATATATATATATTATATATATATATATACATACATACATACATAACTTTTAAATGGCCTCGTATTATTTGAAACTCCAGAAACAAAAAGGGCCGTAATCAGGTTAAAGAAACTGCCAAATTTACTGAGAAAATAAATATACTGTACTATACATAAACAAGGAAGTGCAAAGTTAATAGTGAATAAACAGTGCTGGTGAGAGCGAGTCAGTGCGGTATACTAAAACCTTAATTCTTATTCGCCAGAGATCAGAATACTCAATGGAGAAGTATGTGATGAAGTGGTAACACGTAATAATCGCACGAGATACGTGGCTAAATGCAGAAACTAAAATTACTTCACATGCACCTGCGAAGTGAATTCTGTTTGTTAGTGAAAGGTAATAATGCTCTATATGTAATTGAGGAGGCAAGTGTTTTTTATGACTTAGCGTGCTGTTGGAGTGTGAGCAAGGTAACATTTATAAAGGGCTTCAGAGAAACCGGTTAGCTGGACTTGAGTTCTGGAGGTGAGAGGTACAGTGCTGCACTCGGAAGGAGGGATGGGATGTTGCAGTTTGGAGAGGCATCTGAGGTATAATGTCGGCACGCCTCTGGCAAGACAATGATAAATGATGGTGAAAGGGTTTCTTTTTTTTCTTGTCACCCTACTTCTGAGAGAGAAGGCCGGTGTGTCAAAAAAATGCAGTTTTTGCGAACTTTTTTTTGACAATGTTTCGCCTGTACAACAGCCTTTTCCAAGTCAATAAGGATACCTGGAGAGATAATATAGACAGGAGAGAGGGAAAGATCAGGTGCGGCGTTGATGCAGTGTAGTTGGGAAAGTTCAAACTTGACAGTTGGTTCTGACGATAAGTTTTGTTCTCCGACTACTGCCAAGGGTTTCACTAATCGGAAACTTCTTTTTTTTCTGCACGATAGTGTTGGATGTTAAAATAATGTTACGTTTAAAGCATTTATTTTAAATTTATCACCCTCCGTAATAATTAGTTTGGCTTTCGACATTTCTTTAAATGGTTGCGAGAATGCCTTTGTTAAAAGGAAGCATTGTTTATCAATCTTAAGGGCGTGTTTTTGTGTTCATTCAAACGTGTTGTTAAGTTTCTGGCAGTTTCTGTCACATATATCTGATAACATTCTCATGGAATTTCATACACACCAGCACTTTCTTCTTGCTATCCTTGCTCCTGTGCTTTATAAATTTTTCGTATAGTGGACGAGGTGACTACTGTAACTCTGTTCTTGACGTGGTTTAGTATTTTTCTGGTATTTTCAGCTGCTCACTTCTTACCAGAATTAAAGCACAATTCCTTCTGAATTATGCACACCGAAGACTACTAAACAGGCAGGTGTTCCAGAATTTAGAGGGCGGTACATAACATGTTCTTGTGATTGGCCAGCGCCAGTATAGTGAACGCAGGCTGAAAAAGTGAGTATTTAATAAAGTTGTAATTTACCTCTAGTTCTGAGGCTAGCACACCCCTCTCGGGTCGAAATATATCTGGTAAAGTGACCCTTGTAGCCCCCTTCTCCCGACTGACAATTTATTACCGATTAATAGTTACAGAAGAAGAGCTATACTCGTGATGTCCCGTCTTCCAGCATTTGTTTGTTCTCTATACTTGTGCGCATTACCTCCTCTTGGATCCCATTCTGTGAAGTCAGTAACTGTATTTTGAAGAAATATTTTCTGATGTCATTTCAGCACTACTTTTTTTTCCTTTGTTCATACTGTAGCCTCTTTTTTGTCTCTAGTGTTCTAAAAATATTCCATATTTTTTCCGTTCTTTAAGAATGTATTATGTGGTTATCATACATCCTTAACCCTTAAACTGTCCAAACAGATCTACGTTCACATGCGTAGTGCTCCAAAAGTAGATCTATTTTTTTTACATATTTTCAAATATAACAAAAAAAAAGTAGATCAATTTTTTTTACACTTTTCAAATGTAAAAAAAAACAA